TATTGGATAATACTTTTTTATCTAGGGATGCATTTGAATTCGAAAAATTCTCCTGTTAAAAATTTTTCCTTAAATGAAATCAACTTCACACTAATACAATTTGTTTTCTACGTTACACCTAACACTCGGGTTTCTGTGACTTCAGTTCACAGTACTTTTGGTGAAATAATGTCAGCATATATTATTTACCTGCTTTTAGGTTTATCCGTTCATTAATGGTGACTCCTAACAACATCTTAAACGCTACAAATAAGAAAATTGGTGCCAGTTAAAGGATGTGATGTGATGCGATGTGAAATAAAGAGAACAAAATTTTGGTTTTCTCAAAAACTACAGCATTCTGGGTGGAAATATTTTACTGACTAAGACTCTTATGTACTTTCTTTCAAGTAAGATATTTCAGGATGATACGGAAGTCAGATTTTCAGGATTTTACCGATGGTGTACACCACCTTTAAGGTTATATGTTGGCCATTACGTTGGAGTGGAAAAATTGCGTTTTTGACGTGTTTGTAAATGGGCATTGTGTGAGAACAGTTTATTCAATTTCAAGTTGGAGTCAAAGAGACTGAAGAATTACTCTAAACACTCCTAAAAGGTCAAGTTTATTTCTTAAATTCTCATCATGAAGCTGGTATTTTGTTTCGGAAAACGGGCTGATTTCTTGGAATGAACAATTTTAACTAAAAGCGGACATTACATTTCTGTAGCCTTTCCTTCCGGAGATGTTCCCGCCCAGCAGCATCAATCGCCTTGCAGGCCTTCTTTCATACTTCCCTTCGTCGAGGGTACAGCCGGTAGAAGTTTTCTTCTACCAGCTTGAGGCGGACGGGGTCAAGGCGGCCTTCCGCATCTGCACCAAGCACCCGAACCCCCTTCCTTCAAGTAGGGTGCGATGGTGGGCCAACTCCGCTTCACTGAAGAAGCTTGTTGCTAATTGAACCGCAAAATTATAGGGGGACCCCGACTTGTCGCTAAAGTCAGCTATCTGTACGAGACTAAGTCTATAATCAAAATTAGCTGGTGCCGGTTCTTGTTCGTCAGCAACAGGAGCACGGGGAACATCGACCCTCAATGATTCTTCAATAAGATCAAGTTGCTTTGAAATTTGGGCCAATGCTCCTGCGTGTTCCTGCTGCTGGCGAATTATCAGCAGCAGATTTATGTGAATTTGTCTTGGTAGCCCCTCCTGCTGCTCCCCTTGCTCCTCTCCGTCTCCCTCCTGTTCCATCTCCTTCCTGTTGCTTCTCGCCGTCTCCCTCCTCTTACTCCTCCTCCTCCTGCTTCCTCTGCTTTTCCTTCCCTTCTTTCCCCTCTTCCTCTTACCTGCTATCCTCTTGTTTCCCTCCTTCATAACCTAGGTCCCCAAATATATTTTTTAAAAACATCCCCCCAGTCGTCACCCAATTGAATAACTTCTCCCCCTTCTCGTCCCTCCCCACTAGCAGGCAGTGGTCGATCCTGCTGGTTATGGTTGCCAGCTTCCTCAACTTCACTGGATGGGAAGAGGCCAATGATTGAGGCAGGATTCTTGTTTCTCGTCCTCAGGGGCTCATTTGGCTAAAGAAAAGGACCAAAGAACTTTGTTACAGGTACATTTGTCGAAATTATCTGTTTCTTTTGTATGAAAACAGCCAGTTCTTAACTTGTTTGTCAAACAAATTCCAATGTAGTGAACAAATTGGCCAAGGATATTTGGTGATTTGTGTATAAGTATTGCATATGATTTTTAAGTACCCAGGAGATAAATACAGGAATTGTTGAATT